GGGTCCCCCACGCACTACTACCCCCCTCGGCTGCGTGGGGGTCAGGGGGAAAAGCCCCGTCTCTAGCCCGGTTTTAACCGAGCCACTCTCCTGCCAGTACTTCTTCGCCTGGCTGCAAAGGGGCCCCGATGTCCCCCCCGTTCCTGACCGCCCTCGTTAGCTCTTCCCCCCACTTTTAAAGGGGGGCTGACCCCGGGCATGGGGTTTCCTTTGCTTGGTGGGGGAAACCCAAAAAACCCAGGACCCCGGGGAATTTCAGGGGCTTGCCCCCGGGGCCATGCCAACTAATGGTTGTGTCTGCCCCGTACCCCCCCAAAAACCGTTGGCTGTATTTTTGGCCCAAGGTGCCCTTTGGGAAAAGAGGGAAGACCCACCCCAACCAACCCGATACGGCGGGGTTGTCGGTGGAGCCCCACCCGGGTTTACAGGGAGAAAATGGCCCCCTGGCTGCGACTAGTGCTGCCTCGCCCCTTTTTCCTCTGTCCACGTTTTGCTCCCCTCCTGAAACATTGCCCCTCCCCCAACCCCCTCTGGGGTTTTTGTCTGACGATACTCTTTAATTTAAATTTAAGCACCCCAAAAAAAAAACCCAAATTTTAAACTCTTTGAACGTAAAAAAAGTGGTTTGGGGGGAAGCGGGAAATTTCAGTTTTTAGCACAATGGGTAAATTTGCAGCTTGCCTTTTGGGCGGGAAAAACCTTTGTACGTTTCTGTCACGGGAATGCACAATTTCCCCCAAAAAAAATATTCCCCCAAGCCGGCGTGTAAATGGATTTAACTCTTTAAAACGTAAAATTAGGGGTTGTGAAGCAGAAAATAGGGTTTTTTTTTGGGACAATTTGGCAAACTGCAGCACCCAAATGTGGGACGGGCAGCCCCCCCAAAAAAAAAAAAAAGGTTGGGAAGTCACTTTTTTTTTTTCGAATTTTTTTTTATAGCTGTTTTTCCCTGAGAAAAAGATTTTGTATCCCTGAGTAACGATTTCGTGGGGCCCCAAAGTCTCTGTTTGGGCCCCAACTGTCCCTCAAAAAAAACAGAGGTGTGTCTCCCCTTGAATGACCGGAGGCTAATGGAGAATTTTTAAGATGGGCCGCGATTTTTAACTCAACCCTTTTCACAGGGGCTGGCCCGGCTGGCTTCTGGGTTGGCTAATGCGATCACATTTCATTTATAGGGGGTCAATTAAAAGCAATTTTGGGGCAGCGCGCCCTTTTCTGCGCGCCTTCCCCAAATCCCCCGCCCCATCTTCCTTTTCCATTTTCTCCTGTCGCCACACATGTCGCCGGGATTTTTTGGGAAAAATTTGATTTTGTTTCATCCAAGTTTGCTAATTTCGGGTTTTGTCCGCGAATAGAAATTTTTTCCAAAAACTTGTAACGAATTCCCCCTTTTTCATGTTTTGAAATTGCTCATTTTCTAATTATTGGCCCCTGAAAAAGGGCAAACATGGGGGAGGATATTGCAAATGCTTATTTGGGTTTCATTGAAAAATAAATATTACTTACATACCATTGCATCATACATCAAGAAGCACTTTGTGCGCAGACATTTCCAGAAGAAATGTGCAAAGTTATGGAATTGGTGACTAAGATGATCAACTCCATTGTAGCTAAAGCTCTTCATCATCGCCAATTTAAAGAATTTTTAGTTGAAATTGAGAGTGAGTACGTAGATCTTCTGCTGCATAACAAGGTACGTTGGTTATCAAGAGGAAACGTTTTGAAACGTTTTGCTTCCTTATCAGAAATCAAAGCATTTTTTCCTCGAAGGGTGTTCACTATCCAGAATTAACAAACGATCAGTGTACCCAAAAAACTGTATTTCATGGTGGATGTTACTTCCCATCTAAATCAGCTTAATCATAAACTACAGGGGAAAGGAAACACAATTTTTTCGATGTTAGAAGTTATTTCGTTTGAAAACAAATTATCTGTTTTTGCTCAAGAATTTGACAGAGAAACTTTTGATTCACTTTCCAAGCCTGTTGAAACATCGCCAAGAAAATAATTCTGATATTGACATTACCTATTTTAAAACAGCACTTTTAAATATGAGGGAAGCTTTTCTCAAGAGGTTTCAGGAATTCAGAAACCTCAAAGCGACGTTGGCCTTTGTTAAAAAAACCTCTGGATGCCACTGTAACGGAATTAAATTTTTCTCCCTTTTAATATTGACATTGGCAACTTTGAAATGCAATTGCTGGATTTAAAAAACAAAGAACTGTGGAGCTCGAAATTTGAACGTCTTTGTGCTGATTTAGAAAGATTGGAGAAAAACAAATGTGATCTTAGTTCACAGAACAAGTGGTCTGCTTTGAAAGACCTGGAGAAGGAAGATATGTTGATTTTTAAACACCTGACTCATATAATCAACTAAAAAAGCTAGCGTTTGCTGTTCTTTCCCTTGTTCGGGTCTACATATTTATGCGAACAATCATTTTTCAAGCATGAACCTTATCAAGAGTAAATTGAGAAATCGTCTCATCGATGAGAACCTGGAATCGTGCCTAAAGTTAAAAACAACATACAAACCTGACTTACTCAAACTATCCAAGGAAATGCAAGGCCAATGTTCACATTAGTGGTTGTGACTTTGTCAGTCATTGTCAGGATGTAATTTTCTCTACATTGTAAGGCAAATTTTACGGAATTTTAACGTTATCGATAAATAATATCGTTCTAAAGTTTTTTTTGTTTTATTAGTTGTTTATTTGTATCCTCCCGACCTATGTGGATACTTGCATGCAGAATTTCTCAATAAAAACTTATTGAAACTAAAAAACAGTGTACCATCCTATGTATTTTCAGTTTTAAAAATGTGGCTCTCAAAATAAATTTCAATCGTGGTTTTGGCGAGATTTGGCTCAGTTGAAAAAAAAAGATTGCCCACCACTGGTCTAGAACAATAGGTTAAATCTTTTCTTATACCTCTTTAGGTATAATTGTAATATGTGCCATCAAGAATTTTCCTCATCTCAATCTCTTCTCCCAAATCGATAATATATATGCAAATTATGAGCACCAATTGTTCTAGATTTTCTCTATAATATCTGATCGTATACCTGTCCAGCCCTGGACTCTTTTCCTGCTACTGTGCTTTTCAACGCTCCCTTGATTTCTTCTTGTGTTCTAGGTCTCTCTAGGGACGCTAGTCCCATTGGTTTTGTTTTAATTCCAAGCAGTGGAGGACTGGAACATTTGCCCCCTGGGCACTGCAGATAATTTGGGCTGGTGAACCTGATTGGAGATCCTTCACCATTTAGACATTAATACCTCTGGAACAGTGTACATTTTGTGCTGAAAATGTTATACCCTATAACTTCTCTCAACTCAGGTCACCAGAGATGAGAATATAAGCCTTCATGATTTATTCCTGTGCAGAAAGCAGTGTGACACTTTCAGTAAACTATTAATATTCCTCTTTTATCAGTTTAACTGATGCAGACAAATGGGAGTTGAGAATATCCAGTTGGCTGATAAAATAAATTACAGTGCACATCATCCTGTTCCCTGTCTATCTTAAGTGAACACATTCTGGACTTGGTCATTAGTATTAACTTGTTTAATCATGGGTTTCAGGAGAGCATCCTCGGATGGGAGCTCTGGACGTCTGTCCCTTTATTCCTGTCAGAAATGTAACAATGGCAGAATGTGTATCCTATGCAAATATATTTGCAGAGAAACTGGCTAAAGAACTGCACGTACCAGGTAAGTGAAATAATGTTTTGATACTAGTAATCTGATTTTTTTTTTTTTTTTTTCATTCATCACTCAAATATAAACCCATCATGTGAGAAATATACAGATTGTGGAGCTTCTTCTGAAAATGAGGTTGTTTTCAGAATGGGGTTCACAAGGCTTTTCTTTGTATTTCTCTCATGATGGGTTTTCCTTGAGGCTCCTTAACAGTAGTTGCGTTTTCTTGTGTGCCACATTTTTCACAAAAGCAACAATCTGTCGGTTTCCTTTAAAAATGCACTGCAAAACACCGGCAAGCCTAGCTCCTCGTGGTCTATTTGTGAACATGGTGACGTGTGCTGCATATGTGTTTTGGAGAGTCTCCAAAATCACTGTACCTGACCTTTCAGCATGCCACTGAGTATTCATATAAATACATGCTTGCTGTGTTGTGGCCCAATATTGATGGGTCAGCCATGGTGTTTGTGGGTTTTTAATCGTGCTTTGAAAGAACACCAGCCCAGAATAGGTTATTTGTAACATTTTTAATGGCAGGGTAGGGCTAGTGGAGCTATCTGAGGTCCCTATGCTTTGTTTTGAATGTTTGCTGCACCTATTATGCGTTAGTCATGTAACATTCTGTACTGCAAAATCTGTTTTTGCTGGAATGTAATATAATCATTCACACACAAACTGGTCTTGAAAGCTTTGAATGGTTTACTTTATATTTGCAGACAAAAAATTCATTTTCTTCTGTGACTGTTTGCAATGCCTACAGCACAACAAAGCTAGACATTGCTGAAGGGTTTATTTGCCAGCCGCATGGCGAGGAGATGGAAAAAAAAAAAAAGTGAATCTCTGACCAATAGGTTTATAAAGCCAATTTCAGGAGTAAATCACTAGACAAAGCTGGGGGGTATTCCCATGATGGACATATGCTCCACCTACTAGAGGCAGCTCAGTCACTAAACAGTACACAGTGGGTATTTTACATTCTACATGATGGTGTTGAAAGAGGGGGGGTGGCGGTACAAATTGCTACTTTTTTCAGTTTTTTTTGTTGACACTAGATTAGCTAGGGAACCTTATTTTAAACAGTTTTTTTGGTGGCCAGGCAGTGAATGGCCCCAGCCACAAAAGAGGTTTCTGCCATGGGATCTGACGAGTGCTAGAAGCCTTATCAAAGCACTCTTTTGAACCAATTAGAGGAGGTTCCCTTTTACATTTTTCATGCTGGACTTTTAAAATGATCCTTTTGTTTTGGCCATCGCCATGGCTAGAAGAGTTTGAAGACCAACGTTTTGTTGTTCCAAGAACCCTTTTTTGCTGATCCTTCCAAAATAGGGTCATCCTTAGGCCAGATCCGATGTATCTGCCCAAAGTAGCTTCTTCAATAGGACACAGGAAAAAATCTTGCCTTCCTTCTGTTTATAATCCCAGGGATGCAAAAGAGAAACACCACTGTCTTGATGTGGCGGAGATGCCTCCTCGCTTATTTGCATAGGGACAAAGACCATCTGTTAATTTATGCTGGACCAAGGAAGGGATTTCAAGCCTCTAAGGCTTCGGTCTCCAGGTGGATCAGACAAACTATTGTCTTAGCTTATGAGAGTTGAGGGATCCTGCACCAACAAAAGTAAAAGCTCACTCAACCAGGGCTATGGCCACATCCTGGGTGGAAAAATAAGGGGCCTCCTGGGAACAGATTAGCAGTGCAGCCACCTGGTCCAGTCAAGACACCTTGAACCTTGAAACATTACCAGATTGAAGTGCTGCCGCAGCAAGACTTGACCTTCGGCTGGAAGGTGCCATCCCCCACCTACATCAGAGATCCTGGCCAGACATCTCTGGGTATAGGGTCCAGGCCTCAAAATCCAGGCTGTAACTGCAAAGAAAGTTTGCTTGCTAATTGTCCATCCTTGTAAAGAACAGACAAAGCTGGAATATGAAGTGCAGACTAAGGCTGGATCCTTCCTACTCCTTTTTCTGTGGCAAGGCAATTTGTTCCTCTGTGGTGGTTTATGTACACTACTAGTGTTGTCAAACTGAATCAGGTTAGGATGCTTCTCCAGCCAAGCACTCCAGCATTTAATATTTCTTTACTGCTCAATCTTCTTGAATGTTGAGCAGGAGATGAGATTCCTCTGACGACAAAGTCCCCTGCACAGACCCGATGTCTAGGCCCTCTCCTCAGCCAGCCAGGCTGGTATCTATTGTGAGGATATATACCTAGAGGAAACTACAGTCAGGCCCATGCAGGAATGCAGAATCTGGCAGCTCCTGGACTGTAGAATTTGAACTTTGTCCTAGGCACAGCTCAAGCTCTCTCCCAAAGCAAAATTCTGCCTCTCCCAAACTCTAGATACTGCAGGAGATGAGTTGTGGCCAGGGTATGTACCAAAAGGTTCAGTCTCTAACCAAACTGTGGACATCAGAAAAGGTGTCAGTAGTCTGAGGGTCTCAAATGACTGCTAGACAACTCACAAGGTTACAGCTCTTCATATGTAAAGCAGTATGTGTCACAGCAAAAGGAGCTGAAATAGAATCTCCAACCCTCGGAGTTATGGCAGCTGTAGCCTTGAGTCTGACAAAGATTTGTGAGAACTTTTGCCATCGTGTTTCCACAGCCAAAGACTGAGGCTGCTAAGGCACAGGCAGGTCAGATATTGATTCTACAGGTGAAAGCATTGAATGCTTATGGCCTCTGCCATGAGATCTGGCAACAAGTGCAATTTTGTACATAAAAAATGAGGGGCAATACCAGTCAGAACAAGAAGCCCCATGAAGCAGGAGAGTTCAGGCACTGCAGGATGCCCCAGAGGTAAAGATGTCTGTACACACAGACTACATAAGATAGACCAGGAACAGAGGCAGAGATCAAGCCCCATAAAGTTCCCCAAGAAGAGGTCTACAGCTCTCCTAGGTGTCCCAGGTCACAATGGCAAAAAGGAAACCGTGTGCCCACACAACCAGAGGGGAGATGGGATGAAGCACTCTGCACCCTATATCCATCTTTATGCTGCAGGATTGAGAAGTCCTCATTGTATGTGTGTCTCACAGGACTTCCACACCACTAGGAAAAAAAAAAAGTTCAAGCAAAAAGGCATGGTTTCTTCAACCATCACCAACACAGTTGATCTACAAAGGGGTACCTTTCCTGTGACAGGTCATCAACTTTCAGAGTGGGGGTGCTGTTTGCATTGGGGAGACCTTGACAGAACAACCAGGTTACTTGGTCTCGCAGGCCACTCTGATCCAGAATAGGGCTGTCACAGTTGAACCTGTACTCTCAAGGCACTGTATGTGATGGCAGATTGAGCTGGGGGAACTAAAAGTATTTAGATTATCCTGCAAGTTATACTGCTTAGCAGCTCAGTCTTGAGGACTGAAGAAAAAGTAAAGCATTTCCTTCAGCAATTCATCTAACAAATGAGGGTTTGCCCATCATCAAATGCAAGACCTCCTTTTTTTTTTTTTTTTTTTTTTTTTCTTCTATCTGGAGAATGTTTGTGTTTGGATTTGCTTGTCACCTATAAACGGATTACTCTTAGATCTGCAGTAAAATGTATTATACATTTTGTTATGAATTGTTTTGTTGCTGCCTAAAACAGGCCATATGAGTACAAAAATTAATGAAATTTTATGTCAAGAATGAGTGTTTGATTTTTTCAAATAATTGGTGTACCCACCGTGACAGACAATTTTTGTGTGGCTATCAAACATGTTGGGAATTATTATCAGTGCAATTTTTCTAATCGTTTACAGGGTTATCAATTTTAAACAAAACTGAAATGTGCAGAAGCAAAAAAAAGTTCTGTTACGAAAGTGACATGTAATTTTGTTGACCATAGAGTGTGTGTGTGTGTGTGTGTGTGTGTGTGTGTGTGTGTGTGTACGTGTCTACAATAGCAAAAAAAAGTCCCCTGCAGCTGTAGGGGACAAGCAAATTTAATGTACCGGTATTTTGTGTCCTGCAGCCTTGTAATCACAAGAATCTAGACAGATAAGGCTGGAAATGTGTGAAGGAATGCTTTTTAACTTGATAAACCCAGTGTTATTTGAGGTCAAAATACATTGCATCGATAAAATATAGTGGTGTAGCGCTGAAAACTAAATGTGCAAACTCCACCATAAGCTAAAAAAACATAAATCACATAAATGAATGAATATAAATATATGATCTTTCAAGATCTACAAAAACAGTGTCTCAAACTGTATTATCAGTATACAAAGTGCATATGATGAAGCTGGTCCTATGCCCGGACCCTCATACAGTGACAATACCCAGTTCCACTTGGGACCAAACCCCAAAAGATTAGGTGCTATATACAGTGGATCCCAAAATAAGGGATATGATCACAAACAAAGTGAATGATAAAGTGTATCCCAAAATTGTGATCTAAACCAAATAAAGTGACTAGTGAATAATGTTAAACACAATATATAAACATAAACGTATAAAACGATAAAAAAAGTTGCCAAGAATAGCAAAGATGGCAATTGCTGCCAAAATGTGCCTATATCTGTTACCTATAACGCTGCCACCTCTCCCTCTCTCCTCCACTCTGTTGGGGTCCCCCAAGGCTCTGTCCTCGGGGCCCCTTCTCTTCTCCATCTACACCTCCTCCCTTGGCCAACTGATACACTCCCACAGCTTCAACTACCACCTCTACGCCAATGACACGCAATTCTTCCTCTCTACTCCTCGCCTCACCCCTTCAGTCTCCGCCTAAATCACCTGCCTACAGAATGACCTATCAGACTGGATGTCACTCCACTTCCTCAAATTTTAAACCTTTCCAAAACCGAGCTCCTATATTTCCCCCCCCAGCCCGCGACCCCCTCTCCATCACAACCAACAGCGCCACCATCAGTCCCACCCCGCAAGCCACAGTCCTAGGTGTCGCTCTAGACTCAAATCTGTCCTTCCTGAAAACCCATCTCTTCAGGGAAGCCTACCCCACCCTCACCTAACAGCTGATCTCCTCCTACCACTCCATCCCCCACAGCCACTTCCTCGTGTACCACTATCCCCTCCCTCCTAGATTGTAAGCTCGAAAGAGCAGGGCCCTCGAACCTCTTGTATATTTTGTTACTGTATTGTCTCATGTACTGTCCTCTACTATAATGTACAGCGCTGAGCAAACTTTTTGGCGCTATATAAACACTGTATTATAATATCTTCAAACCAAGTGCTATAGTGCTGGTGCAGATGGGGAGCATATATCCTTAGATGGCAGGCATGCTCCTTGCTGCGACCCAAAAGGGTAAACACGCCTTTTGGATCACTCTGGATCCTACAGGTACCAACTCTCCAGGTCACTCTGATTCCACTGAACCTCACTGGTAACTTCCTTCCAATATAAATCACTCTTCCATTCAGGGATAAACGCAGTGCAGGCCAATAAATGAGTATCACATTACAGCCACGAAAGGACAAAAAACCGAGTCTCCCATAGTGCAACACTATTTAATATGTTAAATCGCCAAATATTGCACTTCCATTAACGCGGATCAAACAAGGCTTGTCACACCACTCAGTTTGGGTGTACTGTGTAAACCTGTTGTAGCAAGATAGCGCTCCGCCGGATGTGCCTGCCATCTCTAAGGATATATGCTCACCATCTGCACCAGCACTATAGCACGTGGTATGAAAATATAGGCACGTTTTGGCAGTAATTGCCATCTTTGCTATTCTTGGCAATTTGTTGGACACTTTTTTGAGTTTATTTATATATTGTGTTTAACATTATTCACTAGTCCCTTTTTATTTTGGTTTATATCACAATTTTGGGTTAATATATATATATATATATATATATATATATATATATATATATATATATATATATATATATATCTCTATCTATCTATCGTTCACTTTGTGATCATAGCCCTTATTTTGTGATCCACTGTATATAGTCTTTTGGGGTTTGGTCCCAAGTGGGACTGGGTATTGTCACTGTATGAGGGTTTGGGCATAGGACCAGCTTTATCATATGCACTTTGTGTACTGATAATATCACAGTTTGAGACACTGTTTGTTTTTCTAGATCTTGAAAGATCTCACTTATATATTTATATTCATTAATTTATGTGATTTTTGTTTATTATTGTGGAGTTTGCACATTTAGTTATCAGCGCTACACCACTATTATATTTTATCACCAATATTTGTCCACTTATAGGTAGAGGATAGGGTGTTAGCAGCATATAGAAATTAGGTTCCATATTAGCACAGGGGGATCTCTATCACAATCTAAAATACATTGCATCGCTACCACAGAAGAGAGAATTTTTCCACAGGGAAAATTCAGAAACTATGATGGCACAATCTTTTATAACAAATTAAATGACAATTTTTTATTTTTGTGTGTTGTGTGTGTGTGTGTGTGTTGTGTGTGTGTGTGTGTGGTCCACGTTCCTTTTGGTCACTGCCCACTTCTCTTAATTTGCAGTCACGAGTATTTATTATTATTTCAGGGGGAAAAAAGTGCATTTTATCTTATTCTTCATGAGCCTCCAAAGCATTCCACTCACATCAGTGGCTTGTGAGTGCAATGTCAGGCACCTGCAAACTTGTTTACCAGCCCGCTGCCCATGCCTCCTGTATGCTTTCAGATGGAGAGCCAGAAGAAGTGTCAATGGACTAAGAGTGCGCTGATTACTACATTCATGTTACATTGATAACTACAAGTCTGTTTTCCAGGGTGGAAAGTGTGACCTGTTTACAAAACTCTGAATGAATGATGCAACTGTGCTATCAGGGCCCTGCACAGCCTTGCAGATGTTAACTGTGACAGGAACGGGGTGGGGGTACTTGGTTACAGGTTACACCCCAAATATGGAGGTAACATGTTGCTGAAGGTGGAGTTTGCATTTTAATCTCTCATACATTTTTTTTTTTTTTTTTAAATCCAGTTTATCTGTATGGAGAGGCAGCTTGCAGTGAAAGTCGAAGAGCTCTTCCAGCAGTGAGAGCTGGGGAGTATGAAGCACTTCCCACTAAGGTACAGGTGGTATTCCAAATTGGTCATTTGTTTGTAGGCTACATAAATGTAGGTTGGGGGCTTCTACCTGCGTAATTGTTCAGGGTCAGTAACGTCAAGAGTGTTGAAACTGAGATTAGCCAAACTAGTATTTTCAGAAAGGGAGATCATCAATAACAGCCTCCAAATTTTCTTTGGACAAATTTCCATTAAATGCTTTGGAAATAGAAGTGTCTCAAAATCCATGCTTGATTCTTTTTTTTTTTTTTTTTTTTTTTTTTTTTTTTTTTTTTTTTCCCATGTAGCTACAAAATCCAGAATGGAGTCCAGATTTTGGAGATTCAGTATTTGTTCCAAGCTGGGGGGCAACTGCAAGCGGTGCTCGAAAATTTCTTATTGCATATAATATTAATTTACTGACAACCAAAGAACTGGCTCATCGCATTGCCCTGAATATCAGAGAAGGAGGTCGTGGGAAAGGTCAGGTGAGAGAAACTATGGTGTTTTGGTGAATAATTGGACTGTATCATGTAATTTTCTAATCTACATATACAGTATGTGTAGTTTTACTGGCTATAGCAGGAATCGGGCGCACAGAAAATAGCAGGTCACACACTTGTGCAGTATAGTACTGTGATAGTTTTCTATAAACGTTTGCTCCAGCATAGTTTCTGTAAATGTATGCAGATTACATGACAGCCTAGAAATGGAAACATTTTAAAGCTTTTTAACTACAATACCATGTATGATCTACTTTGTACAAATCAGTCTGTTGCAGTTTAAAGGATAGTCTCCTCCCTCTATCAAAACCATGTAAAAGGGAAGACTTGCCTGAACCATTAATTTAACATGTATCAAATCAGGCAGGCTCTACATGGTTGATGGTAGATCTAAAAGAGGTTGCCCAAGTGTATGGTCACCTTTTTAAGAATTATCATGTCTGACATAGTATCAAATATTTAACGCTTCTATTTCAAGCAGGAAATCTATCAAATGATGGTGAATCAAAGGTTATTTTTTTAAAACCTGAAAGGATTATTTTGGGCTGGGCTACCCATCTGAAATCATACCAGTCCAAAAATACCCAGAAAATACCCTTTTATGGCAAATTTTGCAGAAAGCAGCGTTGAAGATATTGATTTTATTTCATCACCTATTCATAAACAATCCAGACATAGATTGTAGAAAACTTGGGCAATGTTAGATTTATAGAGTTTTTTTTGGCCAGAAGTTTCCTGTGGGTTACAGGATTGTACTTATCTCTGCACTCCTGTGACCCAGATTCAGCTGACGTCACAGAGACCGATCAGGCTCTGCAGGGATCCTGACAATGTCCAGTTCCGCCCAGATGCCTGACTGGAATCTGGCTCAGCCTCTCAACTCTCTGCTAAGCGCCTACGCCAACTGCTCTCTTGCCCTCTCCACAGCCCAGTGCTCCAGTGAGCACTGGAGGGGCAGAGCTGAGAGCAGTCACTTAGTCACCACTCTGCTCAGTGAAGACCAAGAACTAAGCGATCAGCAGTCATGTGGTCACTCAGTTCTCGGGCTTAGGGCGGTGGGAACAGTTGCAGCCATCTATGTAGGTGTATTTGTGTTTTTCCCAATCTTCCATCTTCTCTTAAGCACTCTGCTCCTACCAATCATTTTAATTCATTCAGTTTAAAAAAAAAAAAAAAAAAAAAAAAAAGTTAATCCAGGCCTATGGCTGCTCCTTTTTTTTTTTTTTTTTTTTTTTTTTTTTTTTTAAATCTATTTCATTCTTCTACCATGCATTTGTTAAAACAAAATAAAGCTGTGATGTATAGTGGAGTTGCTGCGGTGGCCTGAGCAGTTAGTCTTCAGCCTCCTAAATGACACTGGTGTCCTTACCCCTTTTTTTTTTTTGTTTTTGTTTTAGCCTGGTCGTCTGAAAAAAGTGCAGGCTATTGGATGGTATCTTCAAGAGGAGAACATGGCACAAGTGTCTGCAAATTTACTAGATTACGAGGTCACTCCACTACATGAAGTGTATGAGGAGACCCGCAAGGATGCCAAGGTACCCACTCTTCTATGCATTTAGCATTCTCAATCGTACTGGTTATGGGAAATTGTTAATGTTTCTTCTGTTTTTATAGTGTTCTTGACCAAATGTAATATGGACAGCACAGTGGCTAAATGGTTAGCACTTCCGCCTGGCAGTACTAGTGTCGCTGGTTTGAATCCCAACCCCGGCACCACCTGCCTGGAGTTTGCATGTTCTCCCTGTGACTGCGTGGGTTTCCTCCCACTCTCCAAAGACATGCTGGTAGGTTAATTGGCTCCTGTCTAAATTGACCCTAGTATGTGTATGAATGTGAGTTAGGGACCTTAGATTGTACACCCCTGGAGGGTTAGGGACTGATGTGAATGTACAATATATGTATGTAAAAGCGCTGCGTAAATTGACGGCGCTATATAAGCTCCTGAAATAAATATAAGGGAGCAGGAAAACTTTGTAATAGCTAGCCCAAACTCAGAACGGATGTTTGTGGATTTCCTGTAGGTGTTTAGATTTCCTGCTGACCATTTTATGATCATTCTATTTGACAAAGCTAGCCTTCCAGTGAGTGTATATTTGGGCCTGCATGCACACTGGTTTGAAATGTGCAATGGCTCTAGATTGTAAGTTGTGTGTGTGTGTGTGTGTGTTTTTTGTTTGTTTTTGTTTGCTTGTGTGGTGGTTTTTGTCTGTGTTTTTTTTGCTTTTTTTTTTTGTTTTTTTTTTTTTTTTGTTTGTTTTTTTTTTTGGCAGGGCACCATTTATTTATGTTTTTGAAGGTTTGGAACTGGACTACAGAGATCTGAGATGAAAACAAATGAAACCTTGCTTTGAAGTGCATCTGTTTCCTGCCCATATGATGACCTACTAATATTGCTGCAGCCAGCGGGGGGCAAGCCAGGCTGCTCCAAGCTCAAAGACTTTATTTCAGAACACTGGGAGGTGTACAGTAGATCGAGGTGGTGGCCATATTAAGGAGTTGACTGTGTCTTTTATAAACTACTGCCTTTATATTCTACAAGCCTCTATGACCCGTGTGGCAGGAGAGGAGCTAGCAGGGCTTAATATTCTTTGCCCAGGAAAAGCCTTCTCTCTTGGGGCTGTGAGGATTTTTTTTTTTTTTCTTTGGAACAAACTAGCATGGGCATAGGTTTAAGCTGCCGGGTCTAGAAGTGCTAATTGTGCAATACACTGGCCAAGGCACTGGCAGCTGTGAGATCGCTACATTCACTAGATTCGCAGTCTTATCACTGAGAGATCCGCATATTCTCGAACGGCTCAGCTGTTGAGTGAGTCACATCGATCACCTTTTGAACCTGCTCAGGAGTGGGCCAACTTCTATCGCAAGACTTCAGTGTGCCCTGAGGAGTTAATGAGAGTGCCAATGGCTCACATGCGCTAACAACCATTATGTTTAGCACTCAGTGGTATAATTTACTCTATCTGATCTGAATATTCAGATCCTTTATTGTAACTTCTTTTCTTGCCTCTACATCATATATTGCCATCTTGAAGTGCAGTGCTATGACCATGCAGTAGGCATCTCTTACTAAGCAGTGCGGACTCTGGTTAGCCAGAGGAGAACCATATTACATCTTTACTGCCTGCAGTATACAACTACCAGCATTGGTGCACAAAAGGGCCCCAACGCTATCTGGCGGCAGATTCAAATTAGACACTGCCCCTCATACAAAGCTAGCAGCTTCCTCTCTCTTTTTTTTTTTTTTTTTTACATTTTTATGCTATTGACCGGTGATTATGGTCACTTATACAGTTTAGGCCTAGCACCACTATCATCAGAACATACAGGCAGGTTACCTCTGGTGTTAAGTAAAATCTTCTTTCTGCCTGTCTGACATTCTGGGTGGCATTGCTACTGTTTGTGCTCACAAAAAGGGAAGGGCTAAAGAGCCATTTATGCCCCATCCTCTTTCCCTCTGTTATCTACTCGGCAAGTTAAATTGTGTAGCCACAATCATTGGTGGGTTACAGCTGTTCATTATTCATTGTGTTCTTTTCAATTTTCATGCACTACTTTTTTTTTTTATTTTTTTTTTTTTTTTCTTTTTTTTTTTATAAAACCCCTTGGTCACTTTTTCTATGCATATAAATAAACCTTTGACATATTTTTGAAGTGCTTCTATTACTGTAATAAATGGTTTGTAGTTTAAAGGTTGTAATACATTCCCCATTCCTTCTTGATGACGCCTCCCTTCTTTTTGTAATTTTAACTGTAGATTCTGATCCACTGCTTCTGTTTCAGGAGTTGGGCCTTCCAATACTTGGTTCACAATTGGTTGGTTTAATCCCTCTTCAAGCCCTATTGATGTCTGCAGATTATTATATTAAAGAGGAAAATCTGTTCTTGCTGGAAGAAGACCACAAAATCCGCTTGGTAAAATATTTAGTACATGTCACAGTCCACTGCTTTTATGAAATGCAGCACAGGGACTACACGCTCCTAGCTTCCAATCAAATCTAGGTGATCAGCCTTTAAACCTATCCCTCAGATCTAATTAAAAACAATAGCATGGTGGCTGGGTGAGCAGCCAGATCTTTTGTGTGTTTTTTTTTTTTTTTTTTTTTTTTTTTTTCCCCTCAGGTCTTAATATTGTCAAGATTCAGAAGGTTTCATGGACTTTTAGCATAATTGCCTTTTTATACTAGTGTAGTAACTCTGAGACTATTTTGGTGTATCCCTTTCAGAAAGTCATGCTCAAATTTAGTATCCAAATCACTTGGTATAACTTTGAGAATTTACTGCAAGTTGGAAACACCCTCCTTTTTTTTTAATTAGTAGAGAAATTGTGGAAGAAATTAGTTAGAGAAAAGAGCGATTTTAATAGCTGCATGTGTGCCACATCATTCTTTTGACAGGTACTGTAATTGGCCCTGACTGGTAGAAAAACTAACAACTGACCCCGCTCATGTCTCACAATCCCCTCCCTATCCCTATGTTAAGTATAGCTTCACTACCCCATAACTAGAATGTGGCACATAAGCCAGGTAGTGTCTGTTTCCAAGGCACACCTTGCGTAAAACAGATTCCCTTTAAACTAAGAGTTTCTGGGAGAAAATTCCAGGTAATTTTCAAGATATTTTAGTAGGTTGGTAAAGAGGTCCTATGTTATTTCAAAGGAAAAATAGGGCTACAGAATTTTATAAGGGTAGCCATGTCTAGGGACCGTAAAGGCCATATCATTCCAAGATTTGCTTATAGATGCTAGCAATGTAATTCTAATCCTGCATGCAGTTTAACCTGTCATTTTATATAGATTTTAATCTTGTTTTCATCCACTAATTTCAGTAATGTGTATAACAGGTTATTAACAGATTAGGACTGGACTCTCTGGCTCCCTTTGAACCTAGGAAAAGAATCATTGAGTAAGTGGTTTCAAAACAGCTGATATATGTTACAGGGAATGTATGCAGTCATACTCTTTCCTGGTATCTGCCTTTAAAGTGACACTAAATGTCCTTTTTTATTCTCCAAAAATAATGCACATGTACTACTTAATGGCTCTGTAATCTATCTTTCATTAACTTTTTGTTTCTTTGTGTGTGGGGTGTTTTTTTTTTTTTCCTCCCTTCTGTTGCATTTCAAAAACTGAACATACACTACTGCCAAATGTATTGGGACACCCCTCCAAATCAGTGGATTCAGGTGTTCCAATCACCTCTATGGCCACAGGTGTATAAAATCCAGCACATGGACATGCAGGCTGCATTTACAAATATTTTGTGAAAGAATGGGTCGCACTCAGAAGCTGTGAATTCAAGCGTGGTACCGTGATAGGTTGCCACCTGTACAATAAGTCCATAAATATTCCATGGTCAACTGTTAGTGGTATTATAACAAAGTGAAAGCAACTGGTAACAGCAGCAACTCAGCCATGAAGTGGTAGGCCACGTAAAATGACAGAGCGGGGTGAGCGCATGCTGAAGTGCACAGAAGTCACCAACTGTATGCAGAGCCAATTGGTAAAGACTTCCAAACTTCATGTGGTCTTCAGATTAGAACAGTGAGTAGAGGGCTTGATGGAATAGGTTTCCATGGCCGAGCAGCTGCATCCAAGCCTTGCATCAGCAAGTGCAATGCAAAGCGTCGGATGCAGTGGTGTAAAGCATGCCACCACTGGACTCTAAAGCAGTGGAGACGCGTTCTTTGGAGTGATGAATTGTGCTTCTGTCTGGCAATCCGATGGACGTGTCTGGGTTTGGTGGTTGCCGGGAGAACAGTACTTGCCTGACTGCATTGTGCCAAGTGTAAAGTTTTGCTGAAGGATGGATTATGGTGTGGGGTTGTGTTTCAGGGGTTGGGCATATCCCCTTAGTTCTAGTGAAGAGAACTCTTTAAGACGTCAGCAGCATACCAAGACATTTTGGACTATTTCATGCTCCCAACTTTGTGAGAACAGTTTGGGGATGGCCCCTTCCTGTTCCAACATGACTTAGAAAGCAAGGTCAATAAAGATATAGATGAGCGAGTTTGGGGTGGAGGAACTTGACTAGTCTGCACAGAGTCCTGACCTCAGCCCGATAGAGCATCTTTGGGATGAATTGAAGCACAGACTGCGAGCCAGGCCTTCTCACCTGACATCAGTGCCTGACCTCACAAATGCGCTTCTGGAAGAACGGTCAAACATTCCCATAGACACACTCCTACACCTTGTGAGCAGTCTTCCCAGAAAAGCTGAAGCTAGGATAGCTGCAAAGGGTGGGTCAACTCCATATTGAACCCTACAGACGAAGACTGGGATGCCATTAAAGTTCACGTGCGTGTAAAAGCAGGCATACCAATCCTTTTGGCAATATAGTGTAACTGGAAATCTCCCTAGTAGGGCACAAAAAAAAAACGTGATGGGGGTTATCACTTCCTGTCCCCTAGACAAAAGGAAGCATTTAAACCTTGAGGTACAAGGGCTATTATTTATTTTTGCCCTAGAGTTCTGCTTTTCAGCAAAAGGGATCTAGATTAGACGAGTTAGCAAAATAAACTTTTTTTTGCCATTATCCATGTAATAGTCTACCTTTTTTGTAAGCTAAAAAAGCAGAAGGGCAAATTTATGTAAGGGGAAAGATTCTGAAAGCAGTTTATAGAGCATTTTGACTAGAACTGACACCAAATATAGTAACCCAAAAGAAAAGCTATTGTGTACAGTACAGAGTGTGTAAATTTGTGGGTAATTTTAAGAAGTAGGTTTTTGTTTTAAACTGATGGATATAAAATAGAGCGTGTTTTTGCTTGTCACACATCTTATGTAATTCACACATTGGAGTAGACAGTAGCCAGTTTGACTACACAGCTAGCCAGATTGGTAAGGGAATACTTCATATTAAGAGTTTCTAAATGTTAAGGGTTTTCATGAATATTCAGGATCATCATAATGAGAATCTTAGAGGTTTACAGTTTTGGAATATTGAGATGGTGTTGGGAAATGGAGATGATATAATAGAGCAAAAGACCTAAAGTAATGAAACTAAATTGTTTGTTAGACCTCTTAGCTACCAAATTGGTAAATGTGGACATGGATATACATTGTTTTCTTTCTAAAGATTAAATTGTATGTGGCTTTAGATGCCAAAAAGGTGCATGGTACTAATATTAGTCTTTGGTCCTAATTATCTAGTATGCTATAGTAGTCTAATAATATTGGGCTTTGGAAGACGTGCCCCACATAAGATGGCTGCCGAAGTTCATCAGGGATGGCAACATCCAATTAGATGGCTGTTTCCCTCAGACGCCTATGGAGTCTGCAAAGGAATAATGTTCCTGTGTCTCCATTCCATCGGCACAGTGCCACCCACTGGACGGAAGGCACAGAGCCACCTACTGGACGGAAGGCAATTTACACCTACCCACAGGCATGACATGGGAATTATTTCTCCTGGTGAAGTCTGAAATGATTAAGTATGTCTGTCTGAAAACTACCAGAGTGGGGGACCACAAGCATTGCAGTTCATAACTGTACTCTGGGAAAACTGACTTGTAAACAGTGTAGTTTTTTTTTTTTTAAATTCTAAAATCAAAACCCACCACAAATGCATCTTCATACTGATTTTACAGTATATGGAGATTAGTCATAGATATGTTCATATGTGGATAGATCTAGTGGGATTAGGACCTTCTTTTGGTTTAAGTGGTCTCTGGCTTCTGGTGAGTGGAAGTATTCGTTGGCAAACTTTATACACATTGCACAAGTACTGAGCTGCATGCAATGCCAAAAGTTCTGACCGTAACATGCAGCTCACAAACTACTGTTAGGGAACATGGTTTAATTTACACACATACTGTTGGTATTCTGTAATATAACCATAGTATTAAACTTTTTTTTTTTTTTTAACTTGTATCTTTTTCAGGTACCTTGTACAGGATAACCTTTCTGGTGCCCTCATCACACAGTCCGTAAAAGAGTTTGTACACAGTGTGGGAACACGCACCGCTACACCTGGTGGAGGCTCCGTTTCGGCTGCCATGTCTGCTATGGTACGTACTTGGGATGCAATTGCTAGAAATTCTGCATTGCTTTCTGCCAGGTGAAGCTTTTATGCCAATTATAACCAAAATATGTCACGGTTTGTGGTGATTTTTATTTTAATTTTTTTTAAATTGCTGACGTATATCGCGATGGATTGTACAAGTAAAATATTTTCAATGAATTTCTGGTTTTGTACTAAAACCAAACCAGTATCTGCCCTTTAACAGAGCTCAGCCACACAAAGCTTGAGTCTTACTCTGACCATAACTGCAGGCACGGAATGATAGAAGTCTTCATACTTTTTTAATATTTTTCTTCAAGAAGGGGGTCTGTACAGACAGCCCCTCAGCCCCATCATGTGTTCTCTTAAAAGACTGCCTTCAAAGTCCCAATTGCCCTGCCAAGCTGCCATGGCACGATTTTTAATAAAGCTAAAATCTATCGAGGTGTGTGTGTGGGGTTTTTTTTTTTTTTTTATGGGGCGGGAGAATAGTAATGTTTGCACAATACCAACTAACCTCTCACTGCCTACTGGATTCTCTTCCCCATGACCACACCTTTTTAGGACAACTCCCTTACCACCAATGGAATAAGTACCAGCCCTCTTACACCACTATCCAGATAAAGGTGAAGTCAGCAACCTGGTGAATATACAGCATTTAAATGCCTTTTTATTTTCCATTGAATTTAGTGTTGCATAAATTATTCTAAAGGCTGCTTGGGGGTAGTACGTACTTTCCAGAAAGCAGTGGTATCTGAACAGCAGCATGGTCCCCTAGGCAAAGACAAACATGGGGCTCCAGAGATTATAGACTATCTGTCTATATCCTGAGCTGGGAACCACCAAGCTCATACCTCCTCTGGATATTTGTCGTGTTAGCTGATTTACTGGATGTACACTGCTGTGCCTTTTTATTGTGCCTCTTTGTACTGCACGCTGCTTTCTAACGGCTACTGGCTGTATACACTTACATTTTCTGATTTTGTTTGTTTTCTTGCAAGCATTGTACATCTGAATTTTTTTTTTTTTTTTTTTTTTAACTTTCGGATTAAAAAAAAAAATTACTAAAAGATGCAGGGTAAAACATTCCAGTATACAAGTAAGCACTGACGTTTCAGCCTGTGAAGGCCTTCGTCAGGGCTATGACCAAGTCCTTCATGGGCTGAAACATGTCTGTTCTTGTATACTGGAACTTTTTTTTACCCTGTACCCTTTTTAAATTAAAAAAAAAAAAAGGGAGAGGGAAAAAAAGCACAACAAATTTTAATGCTACATTATTTATGGGGTTGCCAACTCAACCTTTTTTATCTGGATCGTGCGTAATAGTGGCTTGTGGAATCTTCAGTCAAGCACTGGTCTTATGTTCACTTATTCGGGTTTGGAATACTGGGGTAGCATCATCTTGTGCCTTGTTTTTGTTCCCCTTATACCACTTTAGCTTATTCTTGTAATGGCTCACATAGTGTACAATATTGCTCTAAATCTAATGACTATTCTTTGCAGGGAGCCGCTTTGGGCTGCATGGTGGGACAGATGACTTATGGAAAGCGCCAGTTTGAATCTCTGGATGGTGTGATGAGAGAATTAATTCCTCCATTCTATCATGCGCTGGATGATTTGCTGGACCTCGTAGATGCTGATTCTAATGCATTTGCAAGCTATATGGTAAACAAAACCTCTTTCCTTCCTCAATTAGCTGTTTTAAGTTCTAAAGCTACTAACCCAAACTGAGTAATTAGCAGCATCTGTTGCTACAACCCTGGATATTATACAGTGTTCAGCATAAATGAGTACACCCTTTTGAAAAGTAAGATTTTAATGAATATCTCCATGAACACAAGAAAAATTTTGACAAAACTGAGTATTATAAAACACTCGTTTACCACATTACATTAAAGTAAGTTAAATAGTATAACTTGGATTACAAAATCTTCAGATTTACTCAAAATTAGTTGAGGCAAAAATGAATACATCCCACAACAAAAACTACTCCCATCTAGTATTTTGTATGACCTCGATTTGTAAGGACAGCATCAAGTCTTCTAGGCATGCAATGAACAAGTTGGCGACATATTGCAACATCTATCTTTTTTTACATTCTTCAAGAACTACCTACTTTAGAGGCTGGATGGAGAGTGATGCTCAACTGGTTTCTTTAGAATTCCCCATAGGTGTTTGATTGGGTTCAGATCAGGAGACCTACTTGGCCACTGAATCTCTGTTCTTCAGAAAATCAACAGTGGCCTTAGATGTGTCTTTTGGATCATTGTCATTTTGGAAAAGTGCACGACGAGCAAGGGCATGGAGTAATGGTAGCATCTCCTCTTTCAATATAGAGCAGCACATCTGTGAATGCATGATACCATCAATGAAATGCAGCTCCCTGACATCAGCAGCACTCATGTAGCCTCACAGGACACTGCCATGTTTCACTCTGGGCACCATGCAATCTTCCTTCTTCTTCCCCTTCCCCTTCCCCTTCCCCTTCCTCCTTTAGGAGAACTTCCTTTGTGAACGACACCCATGCATGCCATTCCTCTGCAGTGCAAGCCATATTGTGTCACGGGAAACCATTTGTTAAATTTCTGTATCACTTTTGCTACAGTATTCTGACAAGCAAAGCTTTGCTGATGATCTTGTAGCCTTCACCTTTTCTTTTGTAATGAAATTATTTTCTTTCTCAGGCCTTGTGACTTTTTTTTTCATGTGGAACCATTGCTGACAGCATGAAATGGGAAGGAGTTTTTTTTTTTTGTTGAGTAATACCCTTTTTATAATCCACTGTCTGCTGGACACCTGTTTAAAGAATAATTAGACTTGCCTGGAGCTGAATTAATGTTCATTATAATTTTGTCTAAAAATTAGCTTTGCTCCTAAGACTTTCATTGGGGTGTATTCATTTTTGCAACGTGGTCTTGAATGTATTTTTTAGGAAAAATACTTTGTGTGCAAATTAACAAATCTTGTTTGCAATCAATGGCCTGCATTTGTGGGAATATTTTGCATTCTAGGGTTCCATAGCAAATTGTTGATCCTGAAAAAGTAAAGGTTTTCTGATCATTTTGGTGTGTACTAGTTTATGCTTATAGAGCTATATCAATAATTTTTTTTTTTTCCTATCTGAACTTCATGTGCTTCAGTTAGATTCTTATGGCAAATGTTTGGCCTTAATTTGAGTCATGCCAATACAAAAACTTTCCATCAATGGAGGGTGCTAGGGGCTTCTCACCATTCTGGAATGCATCATCTCTCTTCCTGTTTGCAGAGCCTTGATATGAAGTCCAATACAAAATGTATTGGAAGAGGGGGTCCATAGTTTAAATGAAGTTCTCCCCTGGGAGCTTTAAGCTTCCCTCCTAATCAAACTGCTGAGAAAAAAAAAAATTGGTCAAGGCACTGCTGCCATAATAATAAATTTTATATATATAATGGCCTCCCTATTCTTAACATCAGTTACGTAAAACAGCTTTGTCAGTAACCTGTCCTCAGTTGACAGGAGAGTGGAGGAAAAGCAGAATACCAATGCAGTCGCCATTTTGATTTCTTCCTCCTTTTATCATGTTCGAACTGTTTGCTATCGAACTTTTTTATATATATAATAAAAAAAAAATCTATATATATATATTTTATTAAGCATTTTTCAATTGGTAATCATTTAATATTTTTAAATATGGGACATTTCTCCATTCCAGCCCTTCTTTATCCACTTGCCCTCCTGGAAGTTTTTTACTCCCCCTTCCTTATCAGGCTATTTTCAACTGGTAATTGCATGGTCAAGCAACACTGTACCCAAATTCAATTTATGTCCTTTTTTTTTTTTTTTTTTTTTTTTTTTTTTGTCTACAAACTACAGTGTATGTATGCAGTTTGGAAAGTAGACTCCCCCAAGGAAACCGGTGGAGGGGCTAAACTCTAGTTCTGGCAGTGAACGGGGCTGATCCTGCTAACACTGCATTTTTGGGGACACTATACTAAGGAGGCACAAGTATAATTCTGTTCATGATCAATATATTGATCTGTACAAACACTGTCAGGGATCCCCTCGATCCACGCCGCGATGGTCCCGACGCAGGCGCAGTGCACCGCCCTGTGCAGGGACACGGGCACTAGTTCCGGGCCGGCCGCGGCGTTCAAGTTCGCGCATGCGCAGTAGAAGCACCAATGGCAGCGCAGGACGGGATATTTAAATGGCCCTGAGCTGTCATTCAGTGCCTTCTGGTCCTACCTGTATCCTGCGAATCTGAACCTGTTCCTAGTAAGTTGTTTGACCCAGATTGCTTTTGACCTGCTGATTTCTCCTGCCCTGACCCTTGCTTTGCCTGACCTCTCTTCTGAATGCCCCTCATTAGATCTGACCTGCTGTTGCTGACCTGGCGTGTGACCCGACGATTCTTTGCCCGCTCCCTTGTACCATACCGCCCTCTACGTTACCAACTCGGCCCGTCTGACTTCGCACTTGCTCAGCCAGCCATCCATCCATCCCATCGGGGTCACCCGACCTCCTCACATCTGGCTCTCCCTGGTTGGAGCCCCTGGCGAACACCCCTACCACTGACAGGTGTGCTCAGTAGTGGCGACCTGGTCTCGGGGTACTCCAAGTCCATCCCCACCATCAGGGGCTCTGGTGAACAAGTACCCTGGGGCTTAGACTCCGTGCTCTGGGCACGCCTGACCAGTGGAGTGCTAGTGGTGCCGCTAGGCGGTCCCTCACAGTACCAGAAGGCCATGACTGAGCCTCGAGGAGGACCCTCCCCAATGGAGGAGATTTGCAGACACCTGGCTACCCTGATGCAAGCTGTAAACGTGTTACAGGACAGATGTTTGCAGATTGAGAACTGGTTCGAGGCCTGCACTATATCTGTTCCTGTTTCACAAGCCCCGGCTCCTGCACCCCCGGTCGCAGCAGCCCATGAGCCAGCTCCCGGGCCTTCTGCATCACTCCCTGTGGCGGAACCCCGAGTACCCTTACCCGAGCGCTTCCACGGGGATCGCACACGCTTCCGGTCATTCCGTGACTGCTGCCTGCTCTATTTTGAACTGCAACCACGAACCTTTCTGACAGAATCAGTGAAGGTGGGGTTTGTTATCTCCTGTTGCAGGGTGAACCCCAAGACTGGGCCCACCGACTCAGGGGAAACAATGATCCACATCTGGTTTCGGTTGACAATTTTTTTAACGCTATGGCCATCCTATACGATCCACAATGGGCAGCCTCAGCCGAGGCCACACTATACACACTCCGACAAGGTCGGCGAGTGGCAGAGGAATACGCCTCTGATTTTAGGCGTTTGATGGGGGACACTCGCTGGAACGAGTTTGCGCTTTTGCACCAGTTCCGTATGGGCCTATCAGAGGCTCTAAAAGACTAGCTTGCCCGGGTGGAAGTGCCCGAGACATTAGAGGACTTGATTGCACTAACCATTAAAATTGACCGTAGACTACGGGAGCGCAGGTTGGAGAGGTCTGGTCAGGGTCGCAGAAATACCTGGGGGTCATTCCAAGGATCCAGTCAAGCTACTAGGCCAAACATCCAGAACCTGCCGTCTGAGGATGCTCCCGAACCCATGCAGCTAGGCCTGGCACGCAACCGGGCATCATGGTCTGGTCAACCGTATCCTGGGGGCACCATCTGGCCATGTATGGCCTAAGCTACCGCCAGAGGAATGCCAGCGCAGACGCTCCCAGAACCTGTGTCTCTACTGCGGTGAAGCTGGTCACATGGTACGTTCCTGCCCGCAGAAACTGAGTAAGTTCACCTCATCTTCCTTATCTATTGGCAATATGAAGGACCCGTCCCAATACTTAGTTGTGCCCCTCTCCTTTCAGCTTTCAGAAAGGACCGTGGACTTGGTGACGGCCATAGTTTTGATTCGGGGGCATGCAGCTGTTTTGTGGATATCATAAACAATTTTGCTCATACCCCATTTATGGCAGGGTATCCCCCTCCATCCAAAGGAGTTGGGCTTTCACATCAGCTGTTTTTGGCTCACCGATCCAAAGGAGAAGGGGGTTTCCCGGATAAAATCAGGGGTAGTTAACCAGGAGACCCCTTCCATTGTTACTTCCATCGCCGGCCAGCACCAGGAACTCCTCCGCCTGGATGCTATTGCATCACCCCTTTTCCCAGTCATTCTGGGGCTCCCATGGTTGCGGGCCCATAACCCCCAAATTCACTGGGAAACTGGGGTTATCTCGTTCCCTTCCCCATACTGTCGGGATCTTTGCCGAACTTCGGGCCCGGAGGTCCCCCAGGTCCTCCTGTGCTCTGAGGGGATGCCAGCTTAAAACAAGTGATTCCTGCAGCCTATCATGAGTTTCTTGATGTGTTCAGTGAACGGGGAGCAGATATTCTACCCCCCACCGCCCATATGACTGTCCTGTTGACCTGTTACCTGGTTCAGAAATTCCCTTTGGTCGAATTTTTCCCCTTTCTGAGCTTGAATTACGGGCCCTGAAGGACTTTATTGAGGACAGCCTCCGGAAGAGATTCATCCGTCCCTCCACTTCTCCAGCAGGTGCAGGGATCTTTTTTGTGGAAAAAAAGGACAAGACCTTGAGGCCGTTTATTGACTATCGGAACTGAATAGGGTCACAATCAAAAATCGTTACCCGCTACCATTGGTACCGGAACTATTCCAGAGTTTAAAGGCTGCAGTAGTGTTTAC